AGCGGACTTGCAGGAAGAAGGGCGGCTGCCGTGCCGCGGCTCTTCTGCTGCAGCGTTAAGGAGATGATGTTCGCACTATCGCCCCAGGCCCACCTGCATCACGAGGAAGCCCCAGGACGCCAGGCGGCGGGCGAAGGGCGCATACTGGGTGGCGCGCGCCTGCGGGGGCAGCATGGACGAGGGGAGCAAGGGGTGGGGAGGCGAGGGCGTTGGAAGAGCGGACCCACTAGTTTGCAACTGGCAAGCACCTGGCTTGTACATGTGGATTCTTTCTGCTCGATAGCCCCAAGAAAGGACGACGACAGCAGCAGCAGCAGCAGCAGCAGCAGCAGCAGCAGCAGCAGCGGCAGCAGCAGCAGGAGCAGCAGCAGCAGCAGCAGCAGCAGCAGCAGCAGCAGCAGCAGCAGCAGCAGCAGCGGCGGGGGCGGGGGCGGCGGCAGCAGCAGCAAACAATTGGCTGACGACTTGCGGGTTCAATGGCGTCATGTCGAGCGCAGCCTGTCGATGATATCAGCAGCCGCCCCACCCCACCTGGAACCCATTGAGCAGCAGGACCACGGGGTAGGGCGGCCCCGGCAGAGGCGGCTCAGCCGGCGCGACGGCCGGCGCGCTGACGGTGAGCGCCAGGCGCGTGGGGCGGTGGTGGCCAGGGCGCGGCACCTGCAGAGAATCGTGCACCAGCACGACCCCGTAGGGCCCCTCTTGTGACAGGTCCTCAGGGGTGCTGTTGCCAGGGTGGGGTCGGGTGCGGTCGGGGGGTGGGGGCACTTGTGGGCGGTTGCGGAGCAGGCGCATGCGAGGCATTGTAAAAGGAGGGGAGAGTGGTGGAGGCCTCATCTTCAGAAGGGGGAGATAAGCGGCTGGTTGGGGTGAGCGTGGTGGGTAGACCCCCGTAGATCTGGCAGCTCTGGCGTTTGCTGATCGGGCACAGGCTGGCGCAGAGCCTGCAGCGTTTTGTCAAGCCTTGTTCAGGCGGTTGGGTGGTGCACTGTCCGCACGGAATGCGTGGCTATGTCAGCCGAGAATCAATACAATGGCCCAAACATGTTGTCGTGTACCAGCGTGCAAGGTATGCGACCACATGCCAGGACGTGGGCCGCCCATGGTCGCACCTCCGCATGCCTCCTGCCCTGGGGGCGGCCTCTGCCGCCACGCCAGGCATCGGTTCTGCCGCCCGCGCCTGTGGCTGATGGATTACAAGTTTATATATGCCAGGAGGTGATCAAGCCGAGCTGGAGGGGCCCGTGGCCACCTGACAGGCCGCTGTACAAATGTTCTTTCTTGCGCGCAGCAGCTGTAGAGCGCGATCGTAAACGACGTGAATCGACGCCATCGCCTCGGTAGCAAGGACTCATGCCACAGGGCAGTGTCAATGGATAGGTGCCGAGTCACTCTGATGACTGACAAGTGCATGGATGCGACAGTCGGTGACACGGGTCAACCTCAATGAATGTGTTTTGCAGTTGAAGAGGATTGCCATCTTCCCGTGACCTTGTGCCGCAGATCTAGATAAGCTGGCGCTCGTCGATACTAGCCTGCTCACGCGAATCGACCAGCATTCCTTGGTGGCTGGCCTGTGGCATTCACAGCGATATCTTCTCCAGCACCACCCGTTCGCCACAGTGCGCACAGCGACTCCGCTTCCGCTGCTGCGCGCGCCACCACTGGCGTCGCTGCTGCCGGGCACAAAGGCGGCAATGGCGGACGCCGCCGCCGCCAAATTTGAAAGAATGAGTGGCGAGCAGGTGGGAAAGTCAACCTGGACAATGTGGAGGCATGGCACCTATGCTGCAGATCTGTTTGCGCCGCCCAACACCAACTGAATGCACCTGATAACATCTGTTGGCGGGGTGCGAATGTCGGCAAACGCCGCACAACGCACCAAGCCGCTCCGCCCCACGCCGTCGCCTGCAGGTCAAGGCGTCGGTTTATGGCTATGCGGGGGACTTGCGGGACGACAAGGTGGGGGCGGCGATGTTCAGCGGATGTTTGAATTATGTGGTCGTCCACACCAGTGCCCAGCCACTATGTGCCTGCTTATGCCGTGCGGCCTAGTTGCAGGACCGATGGTAATATCGGGATGCATCGCCCCTGAATCTCCCACCTGTCATCGACACAATGGTGAACCGCAGATCTCCCCCGAGGAGCTTGTGGGCATAGTGGAAGCGGCGGCTGAGCGGCTGGACGATGAACAGAAGCGCTCCCTGGAGTCGATGCTGCGCATGAAGTGAGCGCCTGCAGGCCGGTGGTGCTCAATTTTGCGCTGTTTGCGAAGCTGCAGAGGCCCTGGCCTCTGCTCACAGGATGTGCGGATCAATGTGACCGGCCTTGCGGCGGCAAATTGTTTGCAAATGCTGATTCGCAACCCTTGTCATGTCCCTGTTAATATGGCTTTCAAATGCGGTGGCGGCTGGCGGCGAGCTTGCCCGCCTGACCAGGGTTTGCGCCCCAGCGTAGTTAACCACCATTCTAAACCTCGCTTCTCCTGCCCTCAGGGTGGACGAGGATTATGTGGAGGAGGTGGTGGCACCACTGTCAGGCAGCAGTAAAAGATAAACGCTGCCGCCCACACGAGGCAGCAACAAGGGGCAGCACGCACGTGCACCACACAACACAGCCTACCTCACATACTGTACAATCGTCATCCAGCAGCCCATCACGGTGCTACATGGATGTGTGAAAGTGAAAAGCCTCAAGCTCACCGCCAATCACATCACATTCAGTGAAGATGGCGCCTCAGACGCCGTGATGGCGCAGCGTGCCTGCACTCCACCCGCCCCTCACATCACTAGGCAATGGGTCAGTGCAGCCGAACGTGCTGCGAGCAATGCCAGATCCAGCGGTCAGCAGCTTGCGTGAACACACACCCTAAGGTCCTTGCATCTTGCTGCATGCCAGCCAGACGGATAGAGTAAGGTAGCAGGTCTGCTGAGGGGGCTCTTACTCTGACGGCTGAGTCACTTTTCGTCATCATCCTACCTTGTGATGTTTCTTTTGGGCAAACGCGAGCAGCAACCTTCCTGAACAACTTCGTGTGTGCTCCCCAACACCGACGCATGCTTGCTGGGTAGGAGTGGTAATGGTAACCACTGGGCAAAGCCATGTGCTCTCGATGCAAACCTCCGTTGCGCAGACCAGATCATGCATGGTGCTGGCACCCGTGGTGAACCGGAAGCCATGTGGGCCCCTCACCCCATCTTGGGCTGCCGCTTTGCTGCCCCTCCATGCCACAGCGTTTCGCAACCGGCACGTTTTGCAACTTGCTGGACGTTAGCGTTGAGTCGTCCAGCTCGTAAATGCACTTGGGGCAGGCAGGCCTGGCGGATTTGCGCCCCTGAAGCGGTGAGCTGAACCCTGTTTTGCACCAGCTGGGAATTCATGCAATCCAGCACCAGTCGCTCTTCATTACCACAGGCCAATCACATGGTGCGCACCCTCGTCTTAACAGGATTGCCGGGCCCTGTGGCGCGCGCAAAACAGGTCGCCAGAAAATAGCAATGCGGCACTGTTCCCTGTTGTGCGGCCACCACACGTCCCTGTTGAAAGTGACGTGTGCCAGCACAAATCACAGGGCTGGGCGCTGCTGCCGCCCCCACGTCTACAATGCCGCGTTCATTCAGGCCACGGCGGTGCGCCGGCCCGTTGCTGCAGCGGAACGCCGCAGTTGCGTCTGCGCCGACCTGCGCCCCATGCAGCCCCTTTCACGTTCCGGCGCTTGGGCCCTGGCGGTTGCCGCCCCTCAGTCCTTGACTGTGGTGGCGTACTTGACCAGCAGGTCCACCACTGTCGCCTTGCTGGCCGCCACGTCGCTCTGCACCTGCTTGATGGACAGCTCCGTCTCCTTGTGTAGCCGCTCGGACGTGGCCGCGGCGCCGCTCGTCGACTGCGGGGGCAGTGTGGGGCGTGGGGGAGGGGGACTTGCCGGCAAGCACCATGGCAAGTCTCCGAGCTATGATGGGTTGCGCCACCCTTTGGCGCTGAGAGCAAACAGGGGTGTTTGCACTTTGCTCCACAGGCGGGCAGCTCGCCATCCCTTGGCGCCTCCGTGTGACAAGGTCAATATGGCATACTGCACCCTGGCCCCCACTGCCCCAAGGCTCACAGACCGCCACCGCACCTCCGCCAGCTTCTTCTGGTAAGCGCCCTCACGCTCCGCCTTGTAGGCCGCAATCTCACGCTCGGCCTCAGCCTTGGCCTGCCGCAAGCGCTCCTGCTTGGCCTGCAAACAGGTGTTTCGGGTGAAGGGGGTAGGCGGGACTGGCATGCTGGACCGTGCAGGCAACAGTTGCCAGAGGCCAATGCTGCAAAGCATGCCTGGCCGTGTTTGGAGCCACAATTCACACACAAGGAATCAAGGGAAAACTAGCTGCTGGTGAAATGGCTGTCTATGTCCAAAGGTCATGCAGCTCTTGACAGTCCACCCCCGTGCTGCCACAGCTTTTACCTTGCGCGCCTCTGCCACGATGGTAGCCGCGGCAGACTCTGCCGCCAGCAGCTTCTGGATCCCGTCGCCCGCCACCTGCATCCTTACCCTGCATCGCGTGCAGCAGGAGGGTTTGTCCTGCCACCAGGCCTCGTGCAGCCCGCTCTGCACATGCGTACTTGCGCTCTTGGGGGCGGCAACAGCCCTGCGGGCTCGATCGCAACCAAGGCCGACACTCACCGTCTGTGTTTCTGTCGTTGGCTATATTTTATCAGACCCGTAAGCTCAAACGGGCCTCTACGGCCTTGAGGGCGATGCTCCCCGCAGCTGGGGTTTGTGAAACCGATCTGCGATTTTACAGTACTTGGAGCAACGAATCAGAACAAGATGTGAAGCAACACGGGTCCAGCTAGAGCTTGTGATGAGGAGAATCAAGATCACAGCGTGGCTTCCTCTCTGCTTCCTCACCATCACGTCAGCTTCAATGGCCCACTCAAGAGAGGATGAAAATAATTGTGAAAAGGGTTGCATGTAACACGTGTCGCATTCAGGCTTGAGGAAGCTCTTGCTGATTTCGTTTCACGACGGGTGTTGGTCCTTTTTTAACCACCTGCCAATGGCTAGGCTCACAAGCTTACTTGCGGGTTGCATCTGCCTCTCCACACGTCGCATTCGCAGCCCCGCTTGGCATGCTCCTCTGCCTGCTACAACCACATAAAGGGCAAGGAGAACCACTGCTTCACTCGACAAGACGGCGATGATAACGAGCACAGGCAGCGAGTGACAGCGCTGGAGTTTCATCTGACACCCCCGGAGGCTAACAGGTAGTATCAGGGGAATCGTTCAGATACTGCCATTAGCGCTGTCGAACATCCCATGCTGAATAAGGCATGTGACAAAGCAGATTCTTAAGTGTGCCATGCTCTCAACATGACACTGTTCCCCCGCACTTCAACTGCCGCCACCACTGCGCAGCCTTCCCGCAAGCGCACCAACGAACATGTAGCAGGAGAGCTGTAATGGCGAGTGCCTTGCAACAACGGCTAGTTTGAGATGTCGGGCTAGCAAGTGCTGCGTTGTGTTGCAGTTGGCTACTGGTGACTGGAGGGCTCGCTGGGGTTGGTACAGCGTGCTTAGAGCAGCGACCGCGTTTGTGAGGTGATATGACTGAAATTGAAAGGGGCGACCATCACCAGTCGAGACTTTTGCTTGTACCCGGGCATGACGACGACTGGATGCCGTACTGCGACAGCTGAGCTACAGTAGGTGACGTGGGCGCCGATCTGGCCGGTGACAAACGCTTCGTACCTGCTCGTCCAAACTGCAGGCCAGCCTTACACATTTCGTGACAGCATGTGAACCTCATCTGTGTCGTCAGGCGCGCGATGGATCCGCAACGGCAGATCCTGTATGAAGAAGTGCCGCTGGGAGAGCTTGATTACGGGGAGGCGTCTTCATCACTAAGCGATGCAGAGGATCCCGGCGTCTGCAGCGTGCTGCGCATTGCCGCGCTCAAGGCGGTCGGCGCCGTCGATGAGCGGGAGCCAGGTCGAGCAGGTGCGAAAGCGCGCACAGTAAGTATTCTCGCATGTCGATCGCACCATAATGCAGCAATGCCGTGATGACAAGGTGATTGCTGCAAATGCCATGCTTCCTGCTCAGGCCTGGAGCTCGAGCTCTCGCCGAGCGGCGCCTCGGCCGCCATCGTCGATCGGGGCCGCCAGCGCGTCTCGTTGCTGTCATCCGCCGACCGCTTTCGGCGCGCAGCTGCGACCTTTGAGCCGCTGCCCGTCTCTCTGGACGGCTGCGAGGCGCCTGACCTGATCACTGGGGTGTGGTGGGGCACGGCTGCATCGGCGGCGGGAGAAGGCGACAGCGGTGGCAGCACGCACGCAGCCGACTGCAAAGGGGATGCCGGCGGCGACGCCGGCGAGCGCCTGCTGGTGGTGTGCCAATCCTCCTGCCTGTACATCCTCGATCGGTGCGCCGGCGCCGCTTGTTGGCAGGGACCCAAGCTCGCAGCAGCTGCTGGCTGACGGCAGTCACAGGGGCTTGTGCGAAAGGCGCACCACCTGCCGTTAACTTGCGTCCTGGCCTCTGTCGGGCCACGAGCACCGACTGCTGTTTCTACGCATCCCGTTGCACTCCCTGCTGGCAGTCGCGGAGGCGTCCTGCGCCAGTGGGAGGTTGACGCCCCCTGGGCGCGCCTCAAGGTGGTGGCCGGCGCCTTTGGCCCCAGCAGCAGCCTGCTGCTGCTCACCGCCGCGCGCGTGCTGTATTGGGTGCACCTGGACGGGAGCAGCGGCGGTCACGGCGGGGGTGGCGGTGTGGCGCCCGTGCAGGGTAGTGCTGTTGGTGGTGGCGGCGAGTGCTGCGACTTCGACAAGTTCAGCGTTAAGGTGGGGAGGAGGGCGTGGTGATGAACGTTTTCGTGTTGACCAGGACCACTCGGGTCCGTGGGGCGCGGGCCACTCTGCCTGATGCAGCAGCCTGCCACGCAGCCGCAGCTTCAGCCGCAGTGGCACACCCACCGCTGGTGCTTCATCGGGACGTCGGTGTTCTGACCCCCAGCGATTCTGCACCGCAGCATTCCTGCACCCCGCAGCACTTCAGCACTCCAGCACTCCAGCACTCAAGCAGCAGCAGCGGCAGCAGCAGGAGCAGCAGCAGCAGGAGCAGCAGCAGAAGATGGAGGGCAGATGCGACACTCACATCTCGCTGGTGACGGCAGCATCCGCCCCTCGCTCGCCCCAGACCCTGGGGCCAGACCAGATTCGTGTCAGATGGCCCCCCTCCCGTCAGCCCCGCAACAGCCCTGTCACACCGACCACCCCCCCCCCCTCCTGCCGCGCCTCCCCACGCAGCGCCACCACGGCACCGTGCGCTGCCTGGCCTACGAGCCCCGCTCGCGCACCCTGCTGGTCGGCGGCGACGGGGGAAACGCTGCAGACCCCTGGGACGACGCGGAGCGCTCTGACGCGTCCGCGCGCGTCACACTGTCGCTGTGGCGGCTGGGGGAGCGGGGGCAGCTGCAGCTGCAGGGCAGCTTCGGCCGGCCGCGCGGCGCCGGCTGGGCAAAGGCGGTGGTGGGTGCTGTGCTGGGGGCGCACCGGGCGCCGCCGCGGCCGTGGGGTGTGAACCTGAGTCCCCTGGGGGAGTACGCAGCGCTGACGACCCACATGGGCAGGTGGGCTGGGCTGCACGGAGTTGTTTTGTGTTTGGGCAGGGGGCGGTAGAGGAGGGGGGGACTCAGGGACAGGTGTTTTCATGTACCTGAGTGAGGGAGGGGGGCAAGCAGGGGAGGGAGGGAGGTCACGTGACACCCAGAGGGGTTGCTTCGCATGCACTGGTACATGGCGGGGTTTGGAGTCGTGCGGACGGGCCGAGGCTGGGCAGCGCCTTGCCGGAGCCTCGCCTGATTTGTGGCGGTGCGCGTATGTATGGATGGCAGCTGCGGGCAGAGCTGACACGCGCGCTGGGTATGCCCTCACGCCGCCGAGGCAGGTGCGTCATCGTCTCCATGGCCAACGGCCGCCCCGTCGACGCGCGCGTCGAGTTCGCCGGCCGGCGCGCCCCCGCGGCCGCCTCGCGCGCCGCCGACGGCCCCGCCGCCCTGCTCGGCCCGCGCCCCGTTTCTCTGGTTTCGGGTGTGGCGGGCGCGGCCTGGTGGACCCCGTGTGACCTGGCGGTGGCCTCCGCCTCGGGCGCAGTCGCCGTGGCCAGGCTGCCGGGCGCGCTCAACGTGCTGGGGGACTGCCCCCTCGGCTTCGGGCCCGGCGCAACCGTTGCCGCGTGCCCGCAGCCGCCGGGCGCGGCGGGCGCGTGTGGGCCCTGTGGCGGCCGGGGGCTGCTGGTGCTGGTACCGCTGCCGCCGCGCGGCGCAGGCGGCGGAGGACGGGTGGGTGCGGGCGGAGACGGCGCGCGGTCGGGCCTCAGCGCCATCGACGCCGCTGTCGCCGCCGCAGCAGCAGCAACGCAGCAATCGCCGCGCGCAGAGCAGGCGGGCGCCGCGGCAGGCGGGGGCGGTGTTGCGTGCTGGCTCGCGTCCAAGCTGGGCGTGGCCGAGGAGGTTGCCGCGTTGTCTCCCTTGGACTGCGGCGAGGCAGCCGCGCCGCGGCGCGCGCCACCTCCGCCGCCGCGCGGCTGGCGTCTGCTGCTACTCGCGGAGCGCACGCCGGCGCAGATGGTGCAGGTGCACCTGCGGGCGCGCGACTGGGGCAGCGCGCTGCAGCTGTGCAAGGCGGCAGGGCTGCACCCCGACGTGGTGTACCGCGCGCGGTGGGCGGCGGCGCCCGTCAGCAAAGTCAACATCCAGGTGGGCCGGTTTGAGCGTCATTTGTGATTTCATCCGTGCTCGTGTCCAAGTTTGTATGTACCGTGTCCACATTTGCGCGTGCATGCGCCATGCACATGGGTGTGGGGCGTGTTGAGGCCGTGTTGAGACCGGGCTGTGTGTGTGGCTGATCAGCTGCCAGTGTCAATACCGTACACACCTCATGCATCTACCTGGCCCGCCACAGGACAACCTGGCCCGCATCGCCGACCGCCGCTGGGTGGTGGAGGAGTGCGTCAGCCGCCTCGCCCCAGACTACGAGTCACAGCGACTGCTCATCAACTACGGCCTGCGGGAGACGGACAGGCACGTGGGGCCCAAGGCGGCAGCGGCTGCGGCTGCAGCGACTGCAGCTGCCATGGCAGGGGCGGGCTCGCCGGTGGCGACAGCTAGTTATGCGCCGGCGGCGGCGGGTGCGGATGGGTCGGAGCAGCGGCGGACGGAGCTGCTAGGGGGTGCGGGGCCGGCGGGGGCTGTGGCGGGGGCGGCGGCCGGGGCAGCGCAGTGGAGCGCCGCCAGCATAGGGCGCGACGGGCGGGAGGCGCGATGGTGGCGGTGGCGG